CCTGCAGCAAGGGAGCATGAGCGGAACAGGGAGAGCAATGATAAACCAGCGAGAGGGGGCACTCGTTGAGAGCTCTGAGCTGAACCAAGAAGAAGAGGGGAAGATGTGGGACGGTGACGCGTACTTGGTCCTGCGTGGCCCACACCAGGGAAGGGGGAGGAGGAGTGTGGAGAGAATACACGCGGCCGACAGGGAGACATTTCTAAAACAGCGTGCAGAGAGAAGGTCAAAGAGGCGTAGTGGTTGACGTCACAACTTCCATGGCTTGGAGTAGCTAGAACAGCGTCACCTCAGGGACCTGAACTGTCATTCCTAGGTAGCAAGAGAGACATCAGAGAAAGCTCATGATGACTAGTGTGTCTTCCACGAAACGGTTCCTTCATGGTGCAGCAGAAAACAGACCCCTTCCTCATTACTCACTGGTGCATGCGTGATCAGCTTGGCCAAGAACTAGTTGCAGAGAAAGTCTCGTCTCTTTGAAGACGATTTTACTTACCATCTGTCACGCCGCCTCTGAGTGACCTTCAGCTTGTGACGAACACGGCTGTCAGAGGCCGCCGATCCGCTTCTTTGTGGTTGCTCTGGCCGAAAATCTCAGATATGGTGACTATTCCAAGATAACTTCTTTCGACTTTTAATTTCGGCTCTCTTTTCCTTCCTTTTATTTGGTTAATTAGGATGATTGATTGTTGTTAACCGATTACGTCCCACTTTGATGAGGGTTAAGCCTGCGGTAGATCGTGCAGGTAAGTAAACAAGGGGATGAAGCCTCGACACACAACAACAATTGGAAACGTGCTGGCAGTGAAAAGAGTACAAAGTACAGGCTACTATTCTAAGGGAATTAGCAAAATCGAAACGGTTGGACAATCTTGATGTTGACACTTGTCTATTTAGTGTTCATCTGTGTTACCTGTGTTGAGTGGCCTATCTGCCCACATGGCAAGGTCAAAGAGACGTGCAGCCAGTGTTTTCATATGTTCTGCCATGTGATCGCATCGTGTAACTGCACCATGTGATCGCACCGTGTAATTGTGCCATGTGATCGCATTGCGTGACTGTACCGTGTGACTATACCGTGCGACTGGGCCACGTGACCGCATCGAGTGACAGTACCGCGAGACTATATCGTGCGACTGTACCGCGCTACTGCGCCGTGCAATTGCGCCATGTGGCCGCATCGTGTGTTTGCTCCATGTGACTGTGCTGCGTGACTGTGCCATGTAACGGCGCGAGTGCGTGAAAGCGTAGGCTTGTAAGTGTTCACTCGATTGGATGGTTGCCTATAGAGAATAGAGCTCGATTGTGCTGTGAGAAGGAGAGGGTGCGAGTCTGTGAAAACCTGCATTAACCTGCGTGTGCAAGTTGTGTGCCTTGTGAGTCTGATAACTGCTGGCGAGTGTTTGATCAATTGTGCGGATCTTCTTTTCAAAGGGGAAAAACGTAAGAATGATTTTCGTTGGCTGTTTTTCTACGCCTCGACTCCTGATTGGATGAGGAAAGTATTAAGGAGAATCTCCTATGTCCTCGCTAAATTCCTCCTTGATGGTGACTGAGTGTCGTTTTGCCTGGACGGGTAGGATCCAACCCAATGGAAAAATAAACTGAGTACCCATTATAGCCGACAAGGTTTCAATCAGAAAAGTGTGAAAAGTGTTGCAAGAACCCCCTTTCCTTGCTTCTTCTAAAGACTCCCGCCACAGTTGACTTCCATGTAGTCGGTGATGGCATGAGCACCAGGGCAACTCTTTTCTGAGCCCTCGTCCTTATCTGTTTTTTTTTTAAGCTTGAGTGTGGATAGGTCAAATGCCAAGAAACAGAGCCCCTCAGGTGAAAAACTTGGGCTCTGAGCACTGACTACACCAGTTTTCAGTTAAAGCAGATCTATGAGCGGCTGAGCTGGCAGTGCCCTTTACATTTGGTTTGACGACACTGAGGGTACGGATTATGTAACGGGGCTCCAAGCAGCACCCAGACTCACCCAATAGAGCAAATACCCGATGTTACGGATGAATTGGTGAGAGCCTGTGAAAAGAACCCTTTTTGCCTCGTGTTGGCAAAGGTTGTGCTCAGAGTCTTCTGCGTTGTGAACGAGTGAAAAACGATTACTTAGGATTCTGCCTCAGCTGGAAACGGGTTAGCATTTGATACCCCCCTTGTGCAGCATACGAACACCAGCTATGATTGATGACGCGGTGTGCTGAGTACAAATGGGAATCGAACAGTGTGCTCGAAGTCCCGTAACATGTTAAGCGTAAACGATGCCCAGTGCGTGGATAGCCTGCAGTGTATGCGTATTGAGCAAGAGTAAGCTCTTGTTTGAGGTTGTGACGTCGAAGTATAAAACAACCCTGTGATCTTACCTGATGAACGGGGTTTAGTGGGGACAAGTGTTCCGAATCATCCTAACGAAGGTGACCAGGGGGCGAGCCCCGCAGTGGCCTATAGGGTGTGCATAGGTCCTACAGTAAAGGCAAAACTGCTCTGTGTAGCAGACTTGCTTCCAGGCCGCCAAAACAAAGAGGTTTGAGCAACACGCTTCAGCGCTGAGTGAACGGTAATCTGGAGTGTTGTGCTCAGACGTGCTTGTGTACCTGTGAAACGACCATTGTTCAGGGTGAGGCCATATATCTGTAGGAGCGGATCACTATCGTACTCATGTCAGACCCTTGGCAGCCCATTATCAGACCTAAGAGACCCAGCTTCTATGAAAGTGATCCTGTTCAGGAAGGACTAACTGCCGGCTAAGTAAATCAAAAGGGGTGGTTTATGAGGGACTGTCGTGGGTTGTTGAGAGATTGGTGCTATATGGATCACATTGGGGTCAATTGCTGCATTCTCCTCCTACCGTATCAGGTGACTGGTGACTGCGAGAGAACGATATTAGCAGACTGATTACCTTGATTCACTATCATTCAAGACATCTCCTCATCGACCATGCTACTCGTTACCCTCCGGATGGTGATTCATGGTAAGGCAACGATCACCTGTGGCCAGACTTATTGTCAGTTATTCTCTGTCAGTTGGCAGATCAGCCATCTGCCAGTTTCGTTTTGACAGGCCAATATCGTTCAGTGGATACAACCAATCCAATACTCTGTCGTGAAAAGTGAACTTCAAGAGCATCACATAGGAGTTAAGATAGTTAGTAACCTCACTTATTGCTTGGGTTCTGGAGCAACAGGAAAACACCAGAGAAAACGAAGTCCTAGTGATAAAGTCCATTTCAGATTGAAGGAAAATTGCACACCATCAGTTCAACCTTAGAAACTGTTGAACAAGCTAGGGGGAAACTCGTATAAGCGTGGTCGTGTTCGAATCACTATCCTCAGGGCTCTATCAGTTTTGAATGGCTACAGGTTGCAGCATCTCGCGAAGTGTGACGACACGTGAGGTAACAATTTTATGACTCAATATTCAGAGCAATACCCAGGCAGTACTTGGAATAATACTCTGAGTAATACTCAGGCAGTACTCAGAACAATGCTTAGACAATATTCAGGCAATATTCGGGCAAACGTTTTTGCAATTCAAACGGTGTTCGGTCAATGACTTGACAGAGTATAACCAATGGTTTGACCGGTATTCTTTCAGTATTGCGGATGTAAGTAATCTGCAGGCCAGCAGTAGTTGTACTCAATCGGAGAATTATGGTCGTTTGGTGACTTGTTACTCCAATAGATTTTTGAAACGGCTATCAGAAAATAGCGATCTAAATCCGTTATTTGAAGACAACATGCAGTAAACAGCGTTCAGTTTTCTCCGCCAGCAATTTCAACACTTCTCTTCCATCAGTCATGTAGCGAACATTCAGTTTTCCGAGTTAGTAATTAATCAGTAATATTCGGCTTTCTGATCAACAACCAAAAACAGCAATCGGAAGCATCAGTTAGCAGTGGCAACCAGAAGTAGCAATCAGAACAGTGTTCAAAAACACTCAAGCGGCGGACGTCTGACGATCAAACACGGTTACTCTTCTCCATCAGGGGTAATTATTTATTGAACACATGAGAGAGATCAATCCCATCACTGTTGACCAGTCGGTCCTCGACAACCTAAATTCGATTGCCGCCAGGGAGAGTTTTTCCTACAAGTATGTCAGGATTGATGGGTTCAAGCGCGAAGATCTGTCTATCTTTGTTGTTCTCACTGAGTTTGCTGAGGGTACAGTCAATGATCTGCGGATCTATCTGAAGAAGGGGAACGAGACACACCATCATTTTGATGCAGTGTGGGCCACAACAGCTGGGTGCGTGCAGTGGAAAGCTGAGAGGCTTGAGGGTAATACAAAGCTGGCCTATAGCTTTGGTCCTAAGCTTTTCAGTGACTATCCCAGACCGCCGGTCCCTCGCTATCTTACTGACGACTCTTACTGGGGTGGATTGGTGGACTTGGCCAAGAGATACAGATCGCCGGCAGTGATTGACTATGAGGCGGTGACTGAGCCCTCTGAGTTTTCGCATCTCAGGAGGGGTATTTTCTCTCAGCCCTATCTCCCCATGCTATGGGAGGAATTTTGTGCCATGCTTGACTTCCGTATCATGGGACTTGGCTGGAAGTGTTTGGAATTGGTGGGATTCAGGTGGCTGTACATTCAGAAGCCACAACCTCAGAGAGTACGAAGACGTGGCAAAAAGCCCAAACGGACAGCAAAGTGAGAGACGGAGAGAAGTTCAGAGGGTTGAGTGAGGACTCTTAATTGGTGTTAGCCATGCTCTCCTCCATATGTACTCCCTGAGACTATTATGAGTTCTCACTCTTCCCTCATTCAACTGCTCCTGTCGTTGCTCGAGTCAGTCAGTCGTGCTTCTCGCATTGCTTTGTCTGACGATTGTCTCCTTGGAAGCTTCTGTCACTGTTCTCAAAATCAGGTTGACACAACTGATGCATGCATAGCACCCCATGATTTTATGGTTATTATTTGCATAATTTTCTGCTGTTCCGAATCAAAATAAAAGATTCCTAAGACCGGGGACCGACGAAGATCGCAATTGAAGGGTCTCGCTCGAAGCCGGACGCACACAATAGGAAGGGATTTGCATTACTTAATTTTTATTTTACTGCAATCAACAACAAAATCCTCCGTGACAGCCTGTTGACGCTCTTGGTCGGTTGAAGTGGCCTGACTGAGAAAAAGTGCGACAGCGCCTCATACGACTTGGGGAAGTTCAGGCGTTTCGTGCAGTACTTGTTGATCACGAAGTGGAAGCACTCGTTGTTGAAGGTCATCCTCCCACGTGTGTAGTAGGCCATCTTCGTATTAGAAGCGAACTGTTCAAGACACCTCGCGATGGCCAAATGAACACGTCCCTCCGCCTCGTACAATGCCTCTCTGTCCCGACCACCGACCGCTTTGTACAGGTTTGACAACTCCTTATCACAATGGGAATAATCCCTGACCCAATGATTGGCGAGGTGTTGCACATGAGTGGCCAACACATCATCGTCGTCATCCCTTGCGCGCTCGCGCAACCTGCAAGCGCCGTACAACCACTCCTTCGCCTCCTCCGCCGCATTGCAATGCAGTGTTTGCAACGCGTCGATCTCGACAACATCATTTGGCAACGCCTTCCCTGCTTCGTCGGGGAAGAGCACACCCCAAACAATCTCAATGAGTTCATCCTTTTTTTTGGTGGACACCCCTACCATGTGTACACATTTCGTTTCGAGCCAAAGTTCGAGCTCCTTCTTTGTGAAACACTTCACCTCGCGCACATGTTCGCAAGCCCCAACCACAGCTGGTTTGACAGTCTTCGTGCCGCGCACAGCCTCTCGCAAGCGTTTGACCAAAGTCTTGGTCTTATGCCACATACACTTTTGCGAGTCGATGTTCATTTGCCGCAATATGACGTCAACTGCGCCACAATCATCATGCACAACCTCTACGATTATGAGGTTCTTCTCGTCCTTCAACCGATGAAGCAGTTTATCCACACACTGTGTTTCCAGCTTCCACGACGACTCGCTCCCCCAGAGCATGGTCTCCGTCCCCACGATCATTCCAGACTTCAAATCCAGCGTCGTTACCGTACAATGTTGAGCGTCACGAGACGAATCGTAATGCCCGTCCACGAAAACGACGATCGGATCGTGCGATCGAAGCAGTGCAGCCAACATCATGCACTCCGGTTTCCACCAACCGTGCACGCGATGTTCTTTCGCCGTCTCTTCTGTTCGATGGACGGGATCCGACACAAAGACACCCGCAACGGGAACCGCGCTGGTGTTGTCATGACCCGAAGACGTGAACGACCGCGGCAAGGCAACTGGATGCGCGGCGTCTGAACAACTTTGTTGGACACCCCACATGGTGTGACTTGCGGACAAAGGCATCGGCAACATCGCTGCGAGAGAGCCCACAGGCGAAGAAAGTGAAGGACGCAAAGAAACCACAGCGGATTGCGCAAAAGGAGACGATGTGGGATCACCAACGAAAGTGGGGAGAGCTGGGATTGTGGCAATGGTTGCGCGCATGTGACTCAGGAGAGGAGTTTGTATGACAGTTGTCGAATTCAGCAAAGGAGGGAACGACAGAACCGCCATTCTGTCATTCAAACGCTGCCTGGTTGCAGGTCTCTCCAATATAGAATCGGTTCGCATACGTCCGCGTGGATCCAAAAACCCTCTCCCTCGACCGCGTGAAATATCATGGTACACCGGAGAGCCTTGCACAGAAGCGCGTGAGGCGGATGAAGATGCAGAGAGAGGAGTAGGAAGCAACGGGGATTTCCGCGACGGCGGCACAGCCGCAGGAGGTTGTTGGCGATCCGTGTTGATGCCCCGGCTCTATTGATGCGGAAGGCCAGACGCACCTGCACACGCGAAAGTACAGTATCACGGATCACGACCTGCGTCCCAACACATTCCGAATCAATGGATCATCAGGTTGTAGTCCAAAAAAGCTAAAAAACAGATATGGGCATACAAAACTACTAACACTCAGATCACATTACCCATCTTCTTGCTCACACGACAAAACCCTAGTTACCCTTGCTCACACGCAGCAGAATCAGAACTGTCTATGCTGAAGAAGAAGAACATTCAAACAACAAACGACGTATACAAATCAAGCATAATGACGTACTAATGAAAAACCTGAAGACGAACATAACAGCCGAATAAGGAATGAAACAAGGAGTAGTAGACGAAGAAGATATACAAGAAGAAGAAGAAGAAGAAGAAGAAGAAGAAGAAGAAGAAGAAGAAGAAGATATACAAGAAAAAAAA